AAAAAAAAAAAAAAAAAAAGGAAAGAAAAGGTTCAGATCCATGAAATTAGGAATGAGAAATGGGAAGTCATAATAGATCCAGTAGAAATCCTAAGGATCACCAATACCTACTTGGAGAACCTGTTCTCTAATAAAATGGAAAGCACAAAAGAAATGGACAGATTTCTAGAAACATATGAATTACCAAAGTTGAACAAAGAAGATTAAAGAAATTCTAAACACCCCAATTACAACCAATGAAAATGAAAACATAATTAAAAATTTACCAACAAAGTAAAGCCTAGGTCCTGATGGCTTCACTGCTGAATTCTACAAGACATTTAGAGAAGAACTATTGCCACTACTCTTTAAACTTTTCAACAAAATTGAAAGGGAAGTAATATTTCCAAATTAATTTCCGGAAGTAAGTGTTACTTTGATTCCAAATACAGGGAAAGACTGAACCAAAAAAGTGAACTACATTACAATCTCCCTAATGAACACAGATGCAAAAGTCCTCAGTAAGATACTGGCAAACAGAATACAAAGGTTCATCAAGAAGATCATACACCCTGACAAGGTTGGATTTTTACCAGGTATGCAAGGATGGTTCAACATGTGTAGGTAAATCAATAAGTGCAATACACTATATTAAGAGTCAAGGACAAAAATCAATTGATCATCTCAATAGATACAGAAAAAGCATTCAACAAAATTAAACACCATTCATGATAAAAACTGTGCAGAAAATTAGGATAGATGATCTTTATTTCAACATGATAAAGGCTATCTATGAAATCTAACAGCCAACATACTAAATTGTCAAAAGCTGAAAACCTTCATGCTGAAATCAGGAACAAGACACGGATGTCCACTGTCATCAATCCTGTTCAGTATTGTTCTGTAAACATTAGCCCTAGCAAATTAGAAAAGAGAAAGCAATAAAAACAATGAAGATATCAAAGGAAGAAGTTAAACTTTCATTATTTTGTGACGATGTGATACTCTACAAAGAAGATCCCAAAAACTCTACCAGAAGACATCTAGACTTAATTGAAAGACTCAATAGAATACCTGGATACAAGGTAAATACTCAATAGCCTTTTTATACACAAATAAGAGACTCACTGAGGAGAAATGAGGGAAAAAAATTCCTCTCAAAATAGCCTCCAAAAAATGAAATATCTAGCAATCAATCTAACAAAGAAAGCAAAAGACTTCTACATTGATAACTACAACACTGAAAAAAAAAGAGATCAAAGAGCATATTAAAAAATGAATGGGTATGAATAACCAATATAATGGAAATGGCCAACCTTCCAAAACGGCTATTCAAATTCAATGCAATTGCAATTGAAATTCCAACAGTACATTTTACAGAACTAGGGAAAAAATTCCAAAAATTAATTTGGAACCAGAAGAGACCTAGAATACCAAAAATAATTCTAGGGAACAGAGACAGAGCAGGTGTAGCACAATCCCCGACTTGAAACTATACTGTGAAGCCACTGTGATAAAAACTGCATGGTACTGTCGACAAAACAGACCTGAAAATCAGTGGAATAGATTAGAAGATGAAGAAACAACTCCAGACATGCTCATCTACCTCATCATTGAAAAGGAGCCAAACATCCTTAGTGGAAGAAAGATAGCCTCTTTAATAAATGGTATTAAAAAATTTGGGTTTCAACTTGCCAAAGATTAAAACTAGACCCCTCTCTCTCACCATACACTAAACTAAAATCCAAGTGGATTAAAGATCTAAATATTAAAACAGAAACACTAAACTTGCTGGGAGATAAATTAGGTTGAACTGAAGACAATGGCATAGTAAAACACTTTATGAATAAATCCTCAGTAGCATGGGGACTAGCACAAAGAATCAACAAACTGGGATCTCATCTTTTAAAAAAGCTTCTGCATGCAAAAGAAACCACCAACAGAGCTAAGAGACAACCTACAAAGTGGAAAAATTTTTTCCAGCTCTTCCTCAAAAAAAGGTCTAGTATATAAAATATATAAAGAACTCAAAAAAAAATCAGATACCCCAAATATAAAGACCCAATTCAAAATGGCATCTGAAATGAACAGACACTTCTCAGACAAATAAGTAAAGCAGCAAATAAATAATGAAAACAATGTTCAGCATCACTGGTCATTCAGGAGATGCAGATGAAAAAAAACCACAGAGATTCTACCTCACCCCAGAAAGAATGGCTGCTATCAAGAAATAAACCAGTAACAAATGCCTGTGGGGCTGTAGAAAGAAAGGAGCAATTCTTCATTGTTCGTGGGAGTGCAGACTGGTGCAACCACTGTGGAAATCAATGCAATAAT